CGATTCTATCTGTGTGCAAATTTTCAGCTAATTCTAAGTTCGGGTTTATTCGGGCTTCCCTAGTATGGTTCTTTCAGATGACTGCCTGCTCCTTTTGGATCAATATTCCGGGTACTGGTACGCGTGCGACTATTTTTTGGCAGGCGAAGCTTATGGCTGCGAATTATATTTCAAGCGGGCCCAAGGATTTATGATCAACCGAAACATTTCAACAAATTACAGCAATGACTATCAACTGGAAACTTGCTTGTTGTCATTTGACTTAGAAGGTGAAGGCGATACCAATGTATTTTATGCGGGGGATCGGGACAAATTACACAACTAGCTCGTATTGACCACAAATAAACACGTGGTTTGTCGAAGGCAAGTGCCGTAATTTGGGCTCGGAACCTCGAATACGATGTTATTGTAGAAGGTCTACGGTCCAGGGGCTTAATATCTGGCCCTTTTCTTGCAGACTGCGGTATAACAATCAGTTTCTCGAACGTTTGTCCACCGGTTCAAGTAGAGCGAATAGTTGATGAACGGTTCCTTGCTAAAACCCGTTAACAATAAGAAACAACTAGAACGAATGGGTGTAGATTCACTCACGTATAGTTGAATCGCGCCGTCACCATCTAAAAAGCGTTGTATTATAGATGTACATAGCCTCCATACCAGCACATAGAGATGCGGCTCAACGTTCGTTGACGGTCTGCCAGGGGTCCAATTGGTATAACCGAATTTCGTACCATCCGACCACTGGAAGTCGTTCGTTTTTGGGTCTGCCTAAAAATCACTGTTTAGGTGCGTGGGAATCCGGGATACTAACAACCAGGGACGTAACCAAAAAAAAATTTTTGCGAGGCGTCCCCGAAACATTATTTCAAACAAAATTGAGACATTAACGAAGCGACAGCGCTGCCGCGGGAAATTTTGGAGTTGGTATTGCCTAGGGGCCGGTATTACGCCACGTGCCTTAACAGCTAAATTCTGCAATATACAGCTAACTGTAAAGTGTTTTTACTCAGGCTGGCGTTTTAGAATGGGACCAAGCCTATCTTGTGCAGAATTTTTCGCTGATTCCGAATCTGTTTCCAAATTTGCTGCCGACTCTTATTTAAAAAGTTATTTGACATTGATACTAAAAAATTGATTAAATCTGGATTTTTTGCGTTGTTTTTTAAGTTGTCGTCACCTCCAAGGTTAAAACTGGCTCGGTAACAGTTTTAGAGGTCAAAACGCGATTTATACAAAAATCATTTGTTTTTGTGCAAAAAAGCAAAAGAAATTGTGCATAGCGGGGTTCGAACCGCCGCTCTGTGCTTGGCAAGCGAACAGCTTACCAATGCACCATGGTGCCAACTGAAAAGGGAACTTCGGGAGGGTAGATAAGGGGCGCAAGAATACCTAGGCCCAGGCAGGGAATAGTGGGCCAGCATCCGAATTTATGCCGTTTTTAAGCTTAATTTAGACCCCAAATGACTTTTTAACGCGAAGTCCGCAGCAAATTTGGAAACGGATTCGGAATCAGCAAAAAATTCTGAACAAAATAGGCTTGGTCCCATCCTAAAACGCCAGCCTGAGTAAAAACACTTTACAGTAAGCGCAAGATAAGCGGCAGACATGTCTTTTTCGTCGTAGAGTTTTGAGCTTATCTCTGTGGCTTTTAGCTAATTTCTAGTTTATCCTCGATAGAATATGAACGCGTATAATCGGATGGATTCCCGATTTTAGCACCTGAACCGTTTATACAGTAAAATCTGTCACCCCGTCTTTCGGTCACCTAGAGCGATTTCCCAGAAATCCTCACCCAATGCTCACGAATTACCGTTTTCGCGCCTATCCAGGTTATAGGGCGGTTATAGTTATAATAGGGCGTCTGCAGGTATACAGGCGAATATTGTTGTGCGACGCCTTAATTTGATGGTGTCAAACTGGCTTGTGTCAGATAACGCCACTTGCCGCGATTCGATTTTCCTCATCCGAATGGATCGATGCTAGATCGGCATCCATAGCCAGGCATCGATCACGGGCCGCAGCCCATTGGAACCCAGCAAAGTCACCGATTAACTGAAAAAGCGCGTAGGAAAATACTCTGCATTAATAGCAAAACATCTAACGAAGTTCCTGACACCTTGTAACAGCCTTTCGTACTTGGGGCATACAACCATTCCGGGTCGCATGGCGGAACAGGCTCGCCGATAAATTCCGTTGAGGTGCAGCGCGTTGGCTGAAATTTGCATGGGCTCTGCGACATGGACTTAACGTACCGTTTTCAAGCCCACACACGCTACTGGGTAATTACCGTGGCGCACAGTGTCCCAGCTACCATCCTTCAGGTTGGCGACGATGTGGCCAGCTGGTTGTTCGGCTAAAATGGCAGGGATACGCTTGCAAATGGTGATCACGCTTGCTGGTCGCGTTGTCACACTGATTCCGAATATCTTTATCATCGCGGAAGCCGGAATTTCCCAATTAATGAACGATTTTGGCAGGAAAGCCATAGAAAGTGGCGCTTTTTGAGATTGAAGTTTGGTAAACGCCTTGGAAACAGCAAGAAATCCTGCACAAGATGGTCCCAAATTCAGAACACCGAAGGCACGAAAAAATGTCTCTGTGTTGGCTTAAAAATTCCGACTTACCCGCTGCAAAGTTGCGATACGTTGAGTTCACCCCGTCCTTCCAAATGACACGCTTCCCATCGAAATACCCACCAAGCCAGACCCATTCCGTGTGATCCTAATTACAGAAATCATTTAATGCAAGCTATGAATTTACAATAATCTGCTTTCGCGCCTGGTTCATCATCGAGAGATTGTCGAATCCGTTCGAGATCGATGCCCCAAAGTGATTAAAGCTGCACAAAGCTGCTGGTCAAAGCCTTTCGGGCCATACTCATACTTTTCGCAGTGCTCCATCGCCTTCGCCTGGGACATTCGGATCGCAAAAACGTAGTAGCATTTTGTTTGGGTCGCGTCCCAATCCGCGTCTCGGGGGCAAAATGAGATCACTTTGTCAAGGGGCAGAAGTAGCAGGATTTTGAATTTGAAGGACATTCTGAGAACTAACCAATAAAAAAGAGCTAGAAAGAGAATCGTGGGCGGAGGCTGAAAAAAATGAGCGTGGTTGGTCTGCGATCGGAAATAAACAATCTACCGAAAGGGCGTAGTTCGGGGAATGGACTTGCCTTTTCATGAGGCACGGGGTGTGGCAATTTATTGCAACATTTATTGGCTATCTCACCCGGGAAACGGAGATCGAGCGATTGGGGGCATCGATACCTTGATAATTACACTACCTAGACACGGATAGGCACTGGGCATGCTTACAATTAGACATTGGCTTGTTCTGCATTAGTAGCTATCACATCATCATCGCGACCTGGATTTGGAAAAAGTTAAAATTTTAGGGTTAGTGCCACAACTGTTGGATGAGCTGAGAACGGACAGAAAGTTAATTCGACAGCCAAAACTATCGTATCTTTTTGAAAGTTGCTTGTGCACATGTTTCCCGCAATTTTTTGTTAGTGTCAATCTTCGCTCGAAAGCGCTAAAAAAATCAAGGGATCAAACATCGAGCGAAGAAACCTAGCTTCTTCGTCCGCAATGTTTTTTGTCTTTGTCGAACAAATCGCAACTAGAACTAGTTACATGATAACTAGAAGCTAGTTATCATGTGTATGGGTTTGCAATCTACCGCCCAAATTCGAATCCATTTATCTGCTTTCAACAACGATGAGGGAAAATGAGATGCTCGCAAACGGAAGTCGGCCAAAATCTGCCCTTTCAGAGCGATTTTTCTGGAAACCCGTAGTCGTTCCGAGCAGTTTTTGGAAGATCGGATTTGTTCATAATATCAAGCTCTATCAAATGGCTATATCATAGCTCAAAACTCCAAGATCACCTAAAAACTTCGACCCCAAGAACGGAGCTGCGAAAATCGTTGATTGCCTGTTTTGCTGGAGCAGTTTGACCAATTCTCGCAATTCAAAAAGGACATTCTGCGCATATAGGGTTGTATTGCCGCCAGCCGAGCTTCCAAAAAGCTACTTTTAAGCGTTGTACCAAGAGTT